AGTTATCATACAGACGACAAACATCTGTTTCTCAAGCGAAAAATAAAATAATTGCCTTTAAGGGAGACACAATAAGGTCAGTAATAAATAAATAAATTCGTGTTGAAATTTTCGTCACATTCCACTGGTTACAAATCTAAAACAAAAACAAAAAAGATAAATTAGAAAACATGTCACTAAGTCACTCAATAATGCATTCAAATAACAACTGAATTTTGGAAGCGAAGAATTGGAAAAAGGGAAGAACGAAAAGAAATTTCACATATGAGACTCAAATAATTTTTAGAGACTGCGTTGATAAGATGGAACAAGAATGAAGGAATAAAACGGGAAAAAAATTAATGCGGGAAAGGAGTCGAAGTGTAGACAATATAAGAAAGTTGCAATAAATCGTGCCGGATAAGATGCAGACCATTTCCACCAAACTTGGTCAAAAACAGCAAAGAATCTGGCCAATATCACACAAATCTGTAGGCAATAGCAGAGCGAACACCCGAAATGTCAAAATAAAATAAAAATTAGAAACGGACAATGTCCAACACGTTATTGCTATAACTAATTAACAGAACAAACTTCCTATAAACGTTCCACAATCCCCGTTCAGCGCATAATAGTGATTCAGATCAACAAATTATCCGGTCTTATAATCAACTCCATGGAGAATATTCCTTGTTGAGAAGCTAACAGTACACTAAGTTAATCCAAGTTCTCTGCCTTTTTTGAAATCCGAAGATTCATTACTGTGTCTACAAGAGCCCGCCACCGGTTTATTCTTAGCCACATGAAGCCAACCCACACACCCAAAACCAATTTTTCTAACATGCAAAAATATTAGCGTTATGTACAATTACCTCATGCATAATTTTTGGATGATACATGATAAATATTTGAATATGACTTTCTGGGCTGTAGCGCCGTGTAATTATCGCCCTGATGATGGTGGCAGCAAAGACATCTGAAACGTTAGTAAACTTCTACAAGACTACACAACGCCACAACCCAGAAACCAG